CTAAGATTTAGCTGATGACGTTAATGTCATTATCATAATGTCGTTCTTTTTTTTTGGAACAATTTTTGTATATTTAATGTCAATATAATTTTTTAATTAACTTTTTTTAATTAATATGACATGTCATTTTGATTTGAATTTTTACCTCATACAACTACAAAAACAATACTTAGGTTCACCTCCTATGGTGAATGTTTAAATTTACCTTACTCTTAACTATGTGTTTGAGCCCACATATGTCAACATAGTTTTCTTACGAATACTTATTAATTTATGTTTTATTAATTCAAAAACCAGCATAATAATAAGTTATTATTTATGTTTTTAAAATTTTTAAAAAATTAAATTAATTATAAATGATAACACTTATTTATCAGAAATATTTTTAAAATATTTATACAATTGGTTTTGTTAGATTTATATTTAATTATAATTTTTATATATTAATTTTTAAATTTAGAATAGAAAATATATAAATACATAAAGAATAAGAATTATTTTATTGTTAAAAACTAATATTAATCTAAATTCATTTTAAATATATAATAAATCATATAAAAATTCTTAAAAACATGATAAATAACCAAATTATCTAAAATCCAGGAGAAGTTGACAAATTAGTAAATTTATTTCTCAAATAATAGTAAAGGTAAATTTTATAACAGAAAATATATATTCATGATAAGAACATAAAAAATAAGAATTATATTATTTTCTAAAAATATAATATTATTAATATAAATTCGTTTGTATATATAAATTATACATATATATATATAATTTTTAAAACATGACGAATAAGTAAAATTACCTAAAATCCTAGAGAATCTGATAAATCAGAAAATTTACTATACTCATATATCAGAAATTTAGAAAATATTTTATAAAAATATTTTTACTTGATTTATATTATATTATAATGTTTATATCTAAATTTTTAAAATTTATAATAAAAATATTTTTAAGATAACATCAAGAATAAGAATTATCTTATTTTCTAAAAATATAATATTATTAACATAAATTCATTTTAGTTATATTATATATAAAATTATAAAAACATGACTTTAATAAAAATTACCTAAAATCATGGAGAACCTTACAAATTAGCAAATTTACTTTTGAAATAGGAAATATATCTCAAGATAACAACATAATACATAAGAATTATCTTATTTTCTAAAAATATAATATTGTTAATATAAGTGGTTTTAATTATATAATAAATTATATATAAAGTTATAAAACATGACAAATAAAAAAAATTACTTAAAATCATGAAGAAACTGACAAATCATCAAATTTACTAAAATGCGTTTAATTATATGATAAATTATATACAAATAAGTAAGATTATCTAAAATCAAGGATCTATTGTTTGAGTTTAGAATTTAAGTTTATAGTCTATGATCTAGTATTTGGGGTCTAGCTGACGGTATTAATGTCGACGACGTTCTTTTAGGGTTTGGGTTTAAGATCTAGGGTTTTGGTTTAAATTTGGGTTTAGCGTTTATGATTTATAATTTAGGTTTAGAGTTTAAAACTTATGTTTAGGATCTAAATTTTAGGGTTTAATTGATGGTATTAACATTGTTATTATCATCATACTTTATCTAATTATTTTCTGTTTTTTTTTTTAAATTTTAATATTTTTTTTAACTAGTATGACATGTCGCTTTGATTGGTGACAAGAGATTGGATGAATTTGAAGGGTACGCACAATAAACCTATGTTTTGTTCTTTCGAAATCCTTTGTTCCATTAATATAGATTAATGTCCTATTATCATTTATTTTTGCTAAGAAGAGAACATACATTTATGTATTAAAACTCTTACTGAAGATTTGTGAAACTAAATAGAAATTTATATAATACAAACTTAAATACAAATCTAAAACATACTTCTGCCCTTTTACAAAAAATAATAAATAAATCTAAAACATACCTTTTTGCTAAGAAGAGAACATACATCTTATATATTAAAACAAAAGTCATGACTTGATTTCATGTGTGATTTTGTTTTTAAAATCTCTATAATATTATTTGAGAAGTCAGTTTCCTACGTGTCGCGCTCACGTTAACTCTCGCGATGGTTGATTACATAGATACCCTTAATGAATTGTTTGATTTTAAGATTATTATTAATTTTTTTATTTAGTTTCTTTTTACCTTTTTAAAAAGTAATTATATTTCAATTTTAATTTAAAAATATATTTAACTCAATATACTCCAAATTTGAATGACTCGACTAATCTAATTTATATCCAAAATTAAACATCTAACTACAATAAGAACATATAATGTTATAATAATAATATAGTAATAATAATAATAATAATGTATTTAATTTTATACATATAAATTAGAGGTTGACTCAAAGCATATTAAAAAGAAAAAGAAAAATATTAACCAATTATAATTTAATTATTTAGTAGAATTTATATATGCATGAGACTTCAAAATATTATCATTATAATCATTTATGTAATTTTGAAGCAAACACTTCAGTTTATTATTTATTTCATTTTAAGCACAATATATATTAAGTTATACATAATTTAATTATAATATATTTAATATCTAAGCCAATAACCAACCGAATAAAAATAAGAAAATTAATCAAAGTTTTATTATATTTAGAATAAAAATATTATAGCTGAATTCGAAAATAGATATTATCCAATATACCAAATTGATAACCAAACCAACTGTTGATCCAAAAGATAATTAAACCGACAATAATATATCCCAAGTCATAAAATTTATTCAAAACTAAAACTAAATATCAATCAATTATTATAAAATTTTACTTTTATGAATATTTATACCCGTGCATGAGCACGGGAAAATCACCTAGTAGGCTATTAATAGAAAGTCATGTTACATTAACTCCTTAATAATCTTATCATTATTATACCTTATGAAAAATGATATCTATAATAACAAAGATACGCTTAACAATTTGGTTTTGGTAAATTACCCCACACCTTCCAACTTAGTCACGCAAAATATGTCAATAGATATAAGTTTAGGAATCTTCTATTATTTATAAGGAAATATGTCAATAATAGTTAAATGCATCCACAATATATTATCAAAAATCACAGATTCGTAATATGGAATATTTCTATAGCCTAAAAAAAATTTACACGCTATATATACTAGATAAATTTATTTTGATGTAAATTTTTGAAATTATATTGTTTAAAAAAAAAGAAATTGTTGAAAAATTCCTTTTTAATAAATTTTTCATAATATTAATTTATGAAGCTATAAGTTTAGTTTTTAGCAAAAATTTCTTCGAAATTTATATTAACTTTGCAAATTAAAGTATACTAATATTTAATCAAACTCTATTTATATTACTTTATCTAAAAATGAAATACCAATCTAACAAACAATAAAATATAGAAGAAGAAACAAACTCATGTTTGAAAAACATGTATAATATAAAAAAATTGAAACAATCTATTTGATTAAAACACGTATTAAATAATATTATTATGTTTGAAAAACATTTACTATATATATCGTAAATATGTGATTACTATAATATATACCAATTTACAAGTGAAAACAAAATGTTTATATAACTAACTATGAACGAAAACAAACATGCGCGAATCTAGTTTATATATTAAAACTTTTATTGAAGAATTTATAAAATAACATGATTATTATCTTACGATTATTGTAGGGTGATTGTCATGATTGTCTTGATTGACAATCTTTAACAAGAATGATCAAATTCTCATAGCTATTTAACACATGAAAGAATTGTTCACACTTGTATTTGACACCCGAAGCCTTAAGTTTGGCCTTGTCTTGATCAAAAGATGGACTGTCACACCTTTCAAATGGCTTACGCGGAGTTGATCGCGATAAAAATCACTCCACTAGGTAGGTTCATCATGAATCTCAGAGTGCAGTTTATTGGTTTCTCATTATCTTTCATTTTATCTTTATTGAATTAAAATACACTTTTTTTGGTCCATTATGCAATTTGATTTTGTAAAATCTCACTCTCCGGTTTGAGCTCCATTCTCAAATCTCTAGTTTACAAAACTTTTGTTATCGGTTTACAAAACTTCCACCGATAACAAAAATTCATTTTTCTTATATCACTACTGTAAATTATACTATCAGTGTTATAAAAAAAAACTACTGTAAATTTGATTATCTTAAATATCAAATCCCGTACTCATTTAATTCATTCATAAATAAATATATCTTACCCATATATGTATATGAATGCATGTATGTATTTATTGGTTGCTTGAATCAATGCATCAAGTTAACAAAACAGATAGAAAGCTTGAAACTTAGAGAAACGAAACAAATCAGAAAGAACCGGAGGTCAGAGATAGGCACATGGGCAGAAAAAGCCCTAACCTTGGCCATTGGCTAGTGCATGGCATATTCATATGCATGTATTAACCTCATATGAATATATGATCCATATTCTTGTGTAATTTCATATCACTCTGTGCGTTATTCCTCTTTGATTCTTATTAATCAATTACTATCTAGGCCATATGATCCATGTTGAAGATCCCCATACCCAGGCCATATGATTCTTTAGCTTAAAGAGCAATCAAAAGTTGAATACGTCGTTAATGATACTAGTAGTTTAGTGTTTAATTTTTTTTCGGGATCGTGCAAAAACGATAATAAGTCAACAAGGCGTATATACACATGGTGAAGTCGATTTTACGCAAGTGTACCACACGCTGCAACATAAGGCGCGTTAAATATATTATATTAAACTAAAAGTCATAGTAATCCCCGGCGAGTCTTGCTTTTTACGATAGCTTTTTGAGCATCTCCGGCGGCGTGGTCACCGGCCGTCAACACCATCATCATCAATAGCAACATGCATCATCATACATTTATATACCATTTATTTAGCTCCGTTGACAATTAACGTGTGAGTGTGTGTATATAAGTATAATCAAGAAGTTGTAGCTGCTTAGAAAGAAAGGCAGTGCTTAAATATTGTGAAGCACAATCACGAAAACGTAAACCGAAATGGGTTCTTCGTCCAACGGAGGAGTGCCACCTGGGTTTCGGTTTCATCCGACAGACGAAGAGCTTCTCCATTACTACCTAAAGAAGAAAATCTCTTATCACAAGTTCGAGATGGAAGTTATCAGAGAGGTTGACTTAAACAAGCTCGAGCCTTGGGATTTACAAGGTATTATTTACTTTTTTTTTTTTATCAAACTCAAGGTATTATTTACTTATTTAACTCATTTCAAGAAAATATGAAAAGTTATTGCGTGTTATGATTATGAATCTCAACTTCATACCAGTTTCACTAAATGTTGATTTATTTTGAGATAAAACTCGTAATCTTGATAGCTCTTCCATTTTCTAATTATCGGATATATCCATGAGCATTTGTTTTAAATATTCTCTAACTTCGTATTCTTTTTTTTTTTTAACGCAGAGAGATGCAAGATCGGGTCAACTCCGCAGAACGAATGGTATTTCTTCAGCCACAAGGATAGGAAATACCCGACGGGGTCAAGGACCAACCGTGCTACTCATGCAGGGTTCTGGAAAGCAACTGGACGAGACAAATGCATAAGGAATTCTTACAAGAAGATAGGAATGAGGAAGACACTTGTGTTCTACAAAGGAAGAGCTCCTCATGGCCAGAAGACTGATTGGATCATGCATGAGTATCGGCTTGAAGATACTGATGATCCTCAAGGAAACCCTAGTGTATGTTTTTCATTTGAGAATCTTTGCAAAATTTTAGACTATAATCTAGACAATATCATTACGAAATTATACCATATATAATTATCATCAGAACCATCTTTTAGGCGATTTACGGGTGTATTGGTGTATAAATTACGGCTTTAGACTATTTTCTATACTTGATGTCAAAAAGAAAACATTTTCTATACGTATATACATATGATACTAAGGTTCTTGGTTTCTACAAAAAAGTTGTGCAACATTTTGATCAAAAATTGCGAACTTACAATAGTTTGAGACAGCGATGTATATTATGATGCGTTCAATTCATTAATTGGTTAGTAACTTGGTCTTTTGTGTTTAATACATTTGCTACATTATTTGATCTTGTAGGAAGATGGATGGGTGGTTTGTAGGGTATTCATGAAGAAGAATTTGTTCAAGGTAGTGACTGAAGGAGGTTCAAGCATTAACTCAACGGACCAATACAACCATGATGCCTCCAACAACAACAACACGCTCCAAGCTCGTAGCTTCATGCACCGAGACAGTCCTTACCAGCTAGTACGTAACCACGGAGCCACGACCTTTGAACTCAACAAGCCTGACCTTACACTTCATCAATACCCACCAATCTTCCACAAGCCACCTTCCCTTGGATTTGAATACTCTTCAGGGCTTCCAAGAGACTGCGAAAGTGCGGCTAGTGAAGGGTTACAATACCAGCAAGCGTGTGAGCCCGGTTTGGAGGTTGGCACGTGCGAGGCCGTTGCTAGCCATAACCATCAACAAGGTTTAGGTGAATGGTCAATGATGGATAGGATTGTGACTTGTCATATGGGAAATGATGATTCTTCTAGAGGGAATAGGTTTGAGGGTGGTAACAACAATTCTTCGTCTGTTGTTCAGCCAGTTCATGAGACGAATCAGCTTTCGTTGCGCAGTGAGATGGATTTCTGGGGTTATTCTAAATAGATGTTTATATATCTTATCACTATGTTAGTGTTGGTGTGTGTGTTCTTTATTACATGTTTTAATTACTGCATTTTTTATGTTTGGAAGCAAATTGCTTCACAGAACTCAAATATATATATATATATATTTATTATTGTTGGAATAATAAATAAAAGATTGATTAGTTATTGTAATACTCATGTATGTTATTTTCTTAGGATTTCTTAGGACCATTGGAATATATCAAGAAGATGCAAATGGAAGTTTGTTTTCACAATGGCAATAGAAATTGTCATCAAACAAAGTGTACAAACCATCTTCGAAGCTCTTTATAAACTAGAAATGGCTTAGAGAGTAGGAGCTCTCTCAGCGGTTCCAGCGATGACGGTAAGCAAATTGTTTCCAAAAGGATCAGTGAGATGCTTTGAAAGGTTTTCAACAGGACCCTCTTCAGTAACATAAGCTTGGATGAAGAAACCGAGCATCGCAAACATGGCTAATCTCCCGTTCTTGATCTCTTTAACCTTGAGAAGAGCTCCTTGTTCAGGGTCCTTAGCAAGTCCCAAAGGATCAAATGGACCTCCTGGATGTAGCTTGTCCTCAAAATCCTGCCAAAGTTTTTGCATTACAAGTTTAGTTGTTTTCCACATGATGAATTTAAAATTAGTATAATAGCTAAATTGTCGAGTAATGTACCAATCCGTTGGTGATTCTGTAGTACTCGGCTCCACCGAGGAGAACAACCTCAGCAACTACGGCGAGAACAAGGTTGATTGGGATGTTCTTGCCAAAGTAGTTCAATGTGTTTCCATCAAGAAGCAGAGCACCAGTCTGTATCCATCACGTAACACATTTCTAGCATTGCCATATAGAATTTAAATAAAACGAAGTTTCAAAAAGATGAGAAGTAGCCAAAAAAAAAAAACCTTGAACCAGACGGCTTCAGGACCACAGTTAGCGCCGTATTTGTTTAAAGCTTCAGGGATGATGAAACCAGCTGCTCCCAACATAGCCCATCTCGCGTGGATCAACTCAAAGGCTTGGTATCTGGGAACCACATTCATTACAGAACCAGTCTTAATGACATTGTTCACATTTGACAGATAGATATTGAAATAAAGAAACAGGTTTAGAGCAGCGAATTTGCTTACTTAGCAAAGTTCTCAGGCTTCTTGCCAAGTCCAAGTGGGTCATAGCCATAGCTGCAATTCAGATTCCATACCAATAAATCATACGGATCGAAGCCAAAGTAATGATACAAACAGAGACATGAAGAAGTGTCTTACTCTCCAGCAACTTCACCGTTTAAGTACTCTGGGATCTCTGATCTGTCCAAAAGACCATCCGGCAAGAAAATTCTCCTGTCAGGACCTGTGAACCCACATTCACAAGAAGATTGATGGAGTTAGTAAGATGAAAAAGAGAAAGATTTTGAACGGGAAGCAGTCAGGAACATACCATACCACTTGGCGAGCTCATCGTTAGCAACCGAGACGGTCTTGGCCTTGGCAGGAGCTGGCTTTTTCTTGGAGAAGAGAGCAACTGTCTTGACGGTAGCCGGGTTCGATGCCAATGGAGCAGACGATCTTGACACTGCCCTGAAGTTAAGGGGTGTACCAATCATTTTCGAAACACCCAAAGACGCCATCTTTTTAGACCAAAGTGTAAAGCTGTTTTAAGACTAGGATAAACGTACTATAAAGTGAAAGGAAGGAAGAGACGAAGCTGGTACTATAAGGTAGGGAGTAAGATTCGTTCAGGCTTTTGATTGGTTCAAATTGAAGATGAGAAATATGATTATGTTCTCTGATTGGTTGTTATTTCTGACGTGGCTCATAGATTGGTCTTTGTTGGATAATCTGTCTATCTCCATATCTTCTGTGTTCTTTTTGTGTGGTTAAGCCTTATCTATAGTGCAAAACTGTTCACAAAGAATCTCACACATGAAATTTCATTTGTTAATTTCATCCACATATATTTCACATTGTTAGTAGAGTTACAGTAAATTCCTAAACACCAAAACACAGCCGTTAGGAAACCACTTGGGATCAAACTAACGAGCTGTTGGTCTCTAGAAGGTACTCGACCACTTATATTCAATTCTGGTTGGAATAGACTATTTACGTTGGCTGGAATATCGCTTGAGAAGCTATTAAGAAGCTTATGAGTCGAATTGGAAAGGAGTTGGTTCGTTTGAGAACGTCGGAGTAATCACTCGAGAGACTGGATTTAATGGTTGATAAAGATATTGGGCTTAAGGTGGAGATTATTGAAAATAGGCCCAAATCTATCTAATTCAAGCCCAAGACAAAATAGATCCAGCAAGTATTTGCATGCTTATTTCCTTTTCCGGCAAGAAACATTAAGATCGGTAAAGCCTATTGAGTTAAATTGTTAAAGCAATTAGGAAAAGGAAGACTAAGGACGGTGGACAAAGTTATAAATAGAGATTGGTGGTGGAAGCTAAGAGTATCATCCGAAACACAAGACCAAAAGAGAGAGAGCTAAAGAGAGATCGGGTTAGAGAAGAAACTCAAGGCGAGAGACATTGTTCGAGTCATGTCTCTAAGGGATAGAGTTTCTTTGATCTTTCTTAAGTCTTTGTTTTGTCTTCCTATTGAGCGTTTAAAGCGTATGTGTAAACCCTTTGATTGATAGTGGATGTTGTGGGAGACGGTTCCCACCCGAGATGTACCGCGCTAGAGGCCGGGAACTCGGTGATCAAATTCTCTGTGTTATAGAATTAAGCAATCTAACGATCGAGAATTCTTAACAAGTGGTATCAGAGCAATCCAGGTTTTGATTGCGGAAGTAAAAGACATCACGGAGTCTAAACAGAATCGCAGGGAAGAAGGATAAGGGTACCTATATGTTCTTCAAAGTTAATTGCGAATCCATAGTCTCCAAGGTGATCGTCTTCTTATTTGAAGTTTCTGTTTGTTGACCTGTTGCAAAAGGTTAATAAATCAGTTGGTTTATGGAGGCAACACAAGAGAAGAGTTGAGATAGAATGATCAAAGGGTACGTAAATTTTGGCTTAGGAGAGCACGTGACGTTGATGCAATAACAATCATCTTAAAGAGAATTCAGAAAAGTTCTTATCGAGAGTCTTCTTAGCAAAGGTTGAAAGTTAAGCGGCGGGATCCATTACTTGTAATGGCGGTACGAAGTGAGTTCAAGGTTGATCAATAGAAACATGAAAATGTATTGCTGTTTCAAGGGATTTTAAGATCAAAGTGGAGATGATGTTAGAGCTTCAGGTTATGGTTTGAAGAAAGATTGTAGTGTTTTGTGATCATGTGTTTCAAGAAACGTCAGAAGAAGTTGACGGAGATGATTAAGGATTCAAGGAAGATCATCAAGGAGATATATTTCACAAGTTATCTTGCAAGGCGTAGGAGACTGCATGTTTTAGGTGAACTGGTTCTCAAAAGTTATCTAGCAAGGAAATATGCAATGGGTTTTGTGTCGATAGTCTTTCTAACAAGGGAGTTAGACGGCGTGTCCTGTTTTTATAAACAGCGGTACAAGACATGTATATGTTCACATTGTTAGAGGAGATGTCAAAGTTTTGTGACGTCTGAATTGAGGTAGAGATTAATGGTGTATTGGTCTAAGTCTATCACTTTGAAAACATGAGGAAGACTCCAAGATAAAAGAAGGCAAGATTCTAATTAAGGAGAATGAATGCATAGGCTAAAGGTACGTGGAGAGTAAGAGACAAGTATGGTTATACCTGTTTTCTTTTGGCATAACAGGAAGAGAACTAAAGAAATTTTCTGAGAAGGACAAGGAGATAAAACTCAGGTGAGGAAGCTAATTAATGGATCAGAAGGAGTTCTGATGATTTGTTCTAAGGTGTTGTGATGCAGGCATCAAAGCATTGATGTGTTAGCAATACAAACAACAAGTATTGCGGGGTGTTTTTTCCAGCTAGGGAATGGTATCATGGGGTCAAGAAGTGATATCAAAGAAGAGCTGTTACAAAGAGAAGTGTCAAGAACGTCATAGGAGCGGTTGGAGTGAGACAAGTTAAAAGATAACTAGCAAAGCGTTGCTAAATGGTTAAACAAGAAGTTTGGACTGGAGTTTGTGTCGAAAGTCTATCTAGCAGGTTAGCTTGATGGTGTGTTCTGTTGGGGATAACAGCGGTACAAAGAGTAGTCCAAGACTATATTTTTTAATGCAACAGATTCAATGAAGACTTTGATTCTAAGTTCAGCGCGCATGAGAGGAATCAAAGGTAAAGAAGGTGATTCTGGTTGCAGGAAGGTTGAAACAGAAACAAGTTGGTTTCTGGAAAGTCGTCAATGAAGTTTCATATTGGTGAATGAGAAAGTTACCTGATAGAAATCAGTAGTCGTGGTGTAGACACATTGGCGTCTAAAACGGATTCAAAAGATGATGCCCTTCAAATTTTATCAAAAATATTATATAATAAAAGTATACCAAAAATTATAATATATGATATTAAGCCAAATATAATTAATGACTTATGAAATATCAATAAAAAATATTTTATTTTTAAGAAGTTAAACTTAAATTTTATTTATGCAAAAATAATTTTTATCGGAATTATTAAATGACAAACAATATATATTTAAATAAAAGAAAAACTTTTTTTTTCAGTTCCAGCATCTTTACATCCCTTGTAACTGGATTTGAAAACATTTTATAATTCTAGTTCCATGTTCTAATAGCATTTTTACGCGAATACTAATTTATAAAATATAACACTTATAAATTATAAAATATAACCAACTTATGATCAAATCCGTACTTGGGCTCTAAATCAAACGTTTGTTATCTCTATATCAATTTTAACTTGTTTGATTCTAAAGTTTCTTCAAAAATCACAAGAACTTATAAAAAAAAACAACTATATAGTAGAACATCAATCACAATGAAACGTGATGAGAAATTGGTTATTGAGAAAGAAACATAAACAAACAAAAAGAAACTAGACTTATCCGAGTTATCAAAATTGTCTGTATTTTTCAATGAATCATGACCTGTTATTAATTTCAGAAAATGGAAATTGTTATAAAAAAGAAGGTAAGTTGGTAGCTTTGAACCATAGACAGCATGTCAAATAATCAAGAATACTAGCCACTAGACTAAAGTAAAATATCTGTTAAATTGCGCCCATAAATAGTATATAATCATGGCCTTTAAACCTCTTGTTTTATGGATCTTAGTTGGCCGACCCTGTCTATATACAATGTAGTATAAGGATATTCACAAAAGTCACAATTCGTCGTACATTTATGTTTGGATAGTTTTTGTAAGCTCTGAAATTGTAATGATTGTCACCAAAAATTATATTTCTTTATTCTTTTAACCTATTATTTATATTAAAAAGATTATATGGGTTTACGTCACACTTGGAGAGATTATACACGACACGAAGAAGTAATCTCTACCGTAAATTAAATGAAATTGGCAAATGAAAGGAGAGTGAAAAAAATCTAAAAACAAAGATAAATAATAGTATAAATCCAACTCAATTTAAATTATTCAATGCATGTCGGCTCCCGTCATATTTAAATTTCTGGATACTATAATTATTAGTATATGTTTTTTTTTTTTTTGCCTAATTATTAGTATATATTAGAATATTGTTTTGACATCCCGTCATTTTTCAATTTCTGGATCTATAATAATGAGAAATTCTTGGGTTCACCTCCTAGAGTACTAATCAATAGGATTTTATTGTTTTATATTCTGTATCTCTTAAAAAAGAAAATAAAATATTATCGAACTATATTATGTTTTAAAATTAAAAGATAAAAATAAGTAAAAATACTAGTAGTTATAAATAAAAAACATTTTTAAACAAATATTTTTATCACCCCCAACAAAATTCTAAACACTAAATCCTAAACCATAAATCATAAACCATTGGAAAAATCCTCAATCATTGGATTAATTTTAAACCATAAGATTTATGATTAATCCAAGGGTTTAGAGTTTATCCAAGGGTGTTTGCTCACAGTGTTAAAATATTATTTTAAAAAAGTTTTTTGTTTGTAACTAATATTATTTTTTATTTTCTTTTATTTTTTTTATTTTGAAAACACAATAAAACTCAATAATATTTTGTTTTCTTTTTTAAAAGATACTGAATATAAAATAATGAAATTCTATTAGTTGTTGAACCTTCACCGTAGGGGTGAACTCAAGAATTACTCATAATTATATATATGTTAGAATATTATTTTGTTAGGGCAAAACTCACAAAAGAGTAAATCGTACTAGTCTCGACTGGGTGGCTTAGAATTGGTCTAAATATAGCTTTTTCAAAAGAAAAAAAAAAGGTTGCATAAATATAAAACGCGAACAAAAAGTATTTAGATTAGTGGTTGTTTAATGACGGATACAAATCAGTTATTTACTAGATCAACTTTTGTTTTCGTTTTTATGTTACAGTCTTAACATTCGTTCAAAAAAAAATTACCAAAATACGCATTCATTTATTTTTGTGAGGGTTTTATTGTCTGCCCAACGTATGGAACTTTTTTGAATTCATTTTTTTCTTGAACGCAAATCACTGCTCCTGTCTTTTCGTCATTAACCAATAACTGTTTTTGAATACATGAATATTGATTGATTAACTAACTCATTTTGTTAGTATTGAATTAGGTATATATCCGTCTCAAATGAACCGCAACTATTGTTTTTGCTAGGTTAAAACCTGATTATTATTTTCGTTACATTTATTTTGGTTTTAAATTTTATATTTAAAAAATATATTATTTTATTTTAAATACAAATACTTATTTTCTATGATTTTATGTTTTATATAAATCTATATATTTTAAAATTTAAATATTTCCTTTTTATTTATGTTTTTGTAAAAATATAAGTAATCTATATATTTATAAATATTTACGTTTATTATTTATGTAATTTTTGTAAAAACATTTGGACCTAATTAGAATTTATTAAGCAAAAATGTTTAGTAATAGCAATTATGTATGATACTCTTAAGTCATTAAACTTAACTTTATAATTGACTATTGTAAGAATTAACTTGACAGTGACATGTATGAAATCTTAACTTCTCAAATAATATTATATAAATTTGTAATTGTCAGTTTTATATTCTAAAGTAAACATTTCTGTTTGTTGGTAAAAAAGATATTTCTTTTTTTTATTTATGTTATTTTATAAATACATGAAGTAAAAATGAAAATTCTGTTATATACGTAATCTATATATTTTTACATATTCATTTTTATTATTTATGTAAGTTTCGCAAAAGTAAATTGAAAAACAACATTAAGAACCTCATAAGAAATTTATTAAGCAAAAAACATTTTTTAGTAATAGCAATTACGTATAACTTTTGATTCATTATGGTTTAACTTTATAATTGACTATTGTAAGAACTAACTTGACAAAGACATGTATGAAACTAATTTCTCAAATAGTTATAGAGATTTGTAATTGGCCATGTATAAATTAACCTGACAACAAATATATGAAATTGACTTCTCAATAATATTATAAAGATATATGTAAAAACAGTTATAACTAATTGTTATTATTTATGTAAGTTTGTAAAACTAAAAGGAAAATGAAAAACAAAACTAAACTAAAATTAAAACTTAATTAAAATTTTGGTAAGAAAAAAAAAGAAATATATTTTTTAGTATTGAAAATTATGTATAACTCTTAATTCATTTAGATTATTTTTGTAATTGATTAGTGTAAAAATTACCGTGAGAACGACACTTATGAAACTGAATTTTATGTAAGATTATAAATATATTAGGAGCATTTTTTAAAAAAAATAACATTGCCCTCATGTGTGATTAACAAAATTATCATTACTTATGTGGTAGCCTCACAAGTCCTTTTAGTCTATTTATAGAAACAAACATAATTTATTAGAGTATTTACAATTCAATGTCATTGAACCTATGTTTTTATATGATGTAATGTTACACTGTGTTATTAATAACCTGTTTATAGAATCAAACCGTTAAATTTTCATTTAAATATTGAAACACATAAGTGTATGTGAACTATGAAAAACCGTACCTATAAATTATTTGAATTAATAATTATATAAAATACGTAATAATACATTTTAAATATCATTCACAAAAAAATACAAGTGAATGGTGTCTCCACAATTTTATTAACCAAATTTATCAACTGCTTTGCATAACAGAGGAGCTAAGTTTATTGAATATTTAATCTCACTATGTTCTGGATATACACATTTTCATATAGATGTTCATGTCAATATACAAATGAACTACTTCACTGATTCATAGAATTGCAATCCATCACATAAACAACCACAAAACATTTAAGATTCTTCATTTTCATATAGATGTTCATACAAAGTTTTGGTCGAAGTCTTAACATATTACATATGTATTCAAATATTCATACATATAGCCACACATCATCAAAAATACAAATGTTACGGTTATGGTTGGTCTCAGGTTATTTCGGTTAGATATTGATAGTTTTAAAATTCAAAGAAATAAGTGATGCAGTAAAAGAATGTAGTAATGGAGTGTTAAATATGTACAAAAGTTAACTTCAATCAATTAATTAATTTGAGTAAATTTGAATTATTCGAAATTCTCATTGATTATTGTAACAATTATGGGAAAATTCAAAATATTGTGATAATCATCAATAAGTTCAAAAATAAAATACTATTTTTATTGAGTATATCATATAAGCCAATGTAATTTTGTTAATTATATCATATAACTACAAAATAAGAAATAGAAAATTTTGTGAGTATATTTTGTGTATATATATCAAGTTTTATCATAGGTCATCGTTGACAAAAATACAAAAAAAAAAATATGTGACCACATACTATACTTAGTTTTTCCAAAATAAAATAAAATAATAATAATAATAATAAGAATAATAATAATAATACGTAAATAATTTATATATACAATTTTCATTCCACACAATGCACGGAAGTTTTAAAATTGTTTAGATTTAATCAAAGATATGTAAAACCTACGCTAATTATAATAAAATTAATTAGTGAAAAAATCTTCTTTCCTTGCAAAATATTAAATGTAAATATTTAATATTATAGAAAATTCACGAAATAATTATATAATTAAAGGAAAATATATCTTATTTCATGGAAATGTAATTTAATATATGTAAAATATGATAATAATTCAAAATTATGTTTAACTCCGCGCATGTCGCGGATTATTACATTGTTGATAATTATAAGAATTAAACTGATAACTATACATAAACTGATTTCTCAAAATAATTTTAAAGAGATATTAGTCCAAATATTTACTCATCTTTACGTTTTCGAGTAGTTTCGTGAAACTAGAAAATTTGGCTAGTAACATGATTACTTTATGTGAGTTTTCTTTGATATAAACTTCGATCGATCATCCTGAAGATAGAAATATAATTTCTTTGTATTGACTTCACTATAATATACACTAGTTTTCATAGATACAAAAAAAAAAAGCAAACTATAGAAAAAGAATCTTCATTCTCAAGAAAAATACGTATCTTTTCTTATTACACAAGAAATCTCTCACTCTCGCGATCTTGCCTAGATCTGTTTCCTATTTTCAATTGTTAATTGCTAACTTGTGTCTGTGTGTATGATGTAGCTTGGGGCTGAGTTCGTAGGAACATTCATCTTGATATTCACAGCCACAGCCGGTCCAATTGTGAACCAGAAATACGACGGAGCTGAAACCCTAATCGGTAACGCCGCATGCGCAGGACTGGCAGTTATGATCATTATTCTCTCAACCGGTCACATATCAGGGGCTCACTTAAATCCATCATTGACCATAGCATTCGCAGCTCTAAGGCACTTTCCTTGGGCCCACGTACCTGCTTACATAGCGGCCCAAGTCTCAGCTTCCATATGCGCTTCATTCGCACTCAAAGGAGTTTTCCATCCTTTCATGTCCGGAGGTGTGACTGTTCCGTCTGTTAATGTTGGACAAGCCTTCGCTCTTGAGTTTATCATCAGTTTCATTCTCCTCTTTGTTGTTACTGCCGTTGCCACCGATACTCGTGCCGTAAGTCTCTCTTTCTCTTCTCAATTTTATATATCACAACATATTATATACAGCTGCATTTTTGGTTTAAAGAAAAGAAGGAATATAAATAATAGTAACTCTTTGAGTAAGTCGAGTTCCAAAATAGATAATTCGTAACGCTTTTGTACTAATGTCCTTAGGCCTTTTGGTTTTTGACTCTACAAGACTACAAATTCCAAAATCTTTTATTCAAAACCAGTTTTGTAAAAAGTGTTTTAATCACCCGCTCCTAAAGGCTACATAATTTAAAATAATTTTTAAACCTTCTGAAAATTAGAATATTAATATAATATAAAATTTATTATTTTATAAATTATAGTTTTAATATTATGTTATAAAATTTTACATTGATAATATAATATAAGTTAAATATCTACAAATTATGATGTTTTATACTACTTTATTGTAGCGCCAATTTTCTAACATTATTTAGTTATTTTGATATATAATTTAAATATATGGTTTGGTTTTTAATTAATATACATTTTATGTTATTTTATAAATTTAAAATATATTTCCATGGTTTCCATAGAAAATAAGCTATTTATCAAAGATATGAATATATATAAATTTGATTGTCATGTCAGCATAATTGATTTTATGCTGATTTCAAAATAAATTAAATTATAATTATATGCATAATAATTATTAAATATTTACTTAAGAGGTTTTTTACCTTCATATTATAATATGTTACATTTAAAAGAGTTTATAATAATAAGATATATTTTATATTTTTAAAAATATACACATGGATAATCGACATCAACATCTCAAGGTGGATGGATTATTTTGTGAAACTAAATTTTTAATGGAGCCCAAACCAAAAAAATATTATTACAATACTATAATCACCTAGCTACTTTAGTGAACTATTATACTTCAATACCATCAAGAGAACTATTTTAGAATCGATAGGAAAATATAAAGCATATTTTGCTTATTTAAATTGACAAAACCTAATTTTTACAAAACATGATAAGTGATTTAATATGAAAATATGATACATATTTTACGTATACCATTGGCAGAACATATAGTTTCACATAAAATCTTGCTTCAATTTTGTATACATTAAAATTATGAAAAATTAAGAGTTACTTTAATATATTTGATAAACATAATAAGACGATCACTACAAGAAAACTCGTCCATTATTAGGACGGGTTTTCTTCGTTATTTCCTCGTAAATGGTCTTTTACTAGGAAATAACGAGGAAACGCGTTTCCTCGAAACACGTTCATCGTAAAGCCTTTTTCCTCGTAAGGTCCTAGCGAATTTACGAGGAAACATTTTCTCGTAAAGGTGTGGTTAGATTTTCCTCGTAAGGTCCTCGTAGCATTTCCTCGTAAGCTCGTAGTAAGATTTTCCTCGTAAGCTCGTAGTAATACGTTACGAGGAACTTACTAGAACTATTTACGAGGACATTACTTGGAAACCATTACGAGGATTTTGCTTCGAAATGTTTTTTCCCTATTAAAAAAAATTAATTATAAATATAATTAATTTATTTTTTAAAATAAAAAAATCAAATTATAAATAAAATATAAAAACAAAATATTTTATAAATAACTAAATAATATTCAAAAAGTTTTAAAATTCATAATATACAATTAAAAATAAAAAAAACTACAGATGCTGGTCTTGAAATTGGCGAACGAACTCGTCATGGCTCGCCAAATCCAGCTCCTCTCCATAGTTGGTTGCCGGCTGTGATTGTGATGGTGGATGCTGTTGGGTTGGAATCCCTCCGCGTTCCCGTCTCTGACGCAACATCTCCTCCAATTTCGGGTTTCCAACCGCCATAATATCGAGGACATCGGTGAGAGAAGTCACATGCTCGGTGAGCGAAGCCAACTGCGAGCGTAGCTGAACATTGACGTCGTGCTGCTCCTGATGATAAGACGATGTCGCTGCAGGTACATCGTTAACCGAGCATATCCCGACGATACGCCCATTTTTCCTAGGGGCGACCTGTAAATAAAAATATTAATAAGGTTAAGAAAAAAATTAAAATAAATAATAAAAATTAATAGTAAAACAAATTATTTACCTCCTCGTAAATTTTATCCACTTCAAGAGTGGATAATATGACTGGAGTCCCAGTCTGCTGAGTCAGCTGGGTCTGGTGTTCGTCAACTCGGGCAACAATCTCGTTGTAGATCCGCTCGGAAGCAGGATCTACAAACTGCCCAGCCTTGTTCCGGTGGGTCCTCTCGTAAAGGTCTTTCAGAGATGGAAGAACTCCTGTCTCTTTAGCCTAAAAGTAATTTTTAAAATTAAATATTAATTTGGAATATTCAAATAAAATAAAAGTTAAATAGTTTTTGAAAATCATCTTACCATGTCTAGACGAACTCCCCCGTGAGGTTTTCGACCCGTGGTGTGAAGCATCTTTATGTTTCCATGCTCGTCTCTGGTCATGCGGTTCTCGGAGTTTGTGTTGGAGGTTCTGACCGAGTCCGGCAACCCCCAATAGCTGATGAGGCCATCCCACACCGTGGTTGTGAGGCAATCGGGTTTCCCGTCCTCGTAACCATCCACCTGATTTAAAAAAATTAGAATTAAAGTCAATAATATTTTTAAAACTATATATATATTATAACTAGGTGATTTTCCCGTGCTCATGCACGGGCATAAATATTTATAACATAAATATATTATAATAGTTGATTGATATTTATTTTAACTTTTATATTAATTTATATTTTTTATGTATAATTTATATTAATAATATTATATTATTTTAGTTATATATAATTTTAGAAATATTATATTTAGTTATTTTTATCATTTTGATATATATATTGGATTCTATTTATTTTTCTGAATTCAACAATAATTTTTTTTATTCTAAATATATTAAATTTTTGATTAATTGTTTTATTTATATTTATGTTGGTTGTTATCTTATAAATATAAGTATATCTTAGTAAGATTTTGTATTTTAAGATTTTTTGTGCTTAGAAGGAAAAAAAAAACTAAAGTGTCTCATTTACATAAGTAATAATATTTTTTTGGAAGCTTATGAACACATATCAATATTTACAATAATTAAATATTTTATAAATTTTAAATAATGTATGCCTTAGATTGATTGGATGGTAAACTGAAATTTATTTTAAATAATTTTAAAAATAATGAATTCTGATTTGCTTAAGTATTTTGATTATGGTTATATTAAATTCCACAAACATAAAAACAGAAAATTAAACATCAAGAGAGTTGTTAAGAAAACAGATAATTTTAACTATTAAAATATATATCTATCTCGTTAAATTATATAGTGTTATGATATTTTAAAAGAATTGTAGTTATTTGATCAAAAGATGTTTATTATTAAATTTATTTTTATTTTGTTTTTAATATCTCTTAAAATATGCAGTAAAAATGTGATTGTTTTTGAGAAATTATATTATATAAGTAAAATATAATTTATATTTTTTGCTGTAACTGTAAGATATTATAATCAAATAAATATACTAATTATAATTTTTTTTGTCAATTAAACAAATATCAGTTTATGTTACTTAATTATTTTATGTATTCATCTAATAAAATAGATAGATATAAACAAAAACTAATTACTTTGAAAATATATATTTTATTGTTTAAATTATTTTTTTAAAGAAAACTATTTTTTTTTCTAATATCAAGATTATTTCTATGAACTTTTTTTATGAAAACACATAATATACAAGTACTTTTTTCATCTAAGAAGATATAGATATAAAGTATAATTACTTAAAAATTATAATTTATGTTATTTAAAAATATATTTAAGTTAAATATTACTATTTTGTAAACTTTCTTTTTTTATGAAACAATATTATACATATACTTATTTTTTCGTTTTTAAATAGTTTTGTAAATTTTATAAATATTTCCTTTTTGTTTTATATTGTTGTTTGGAAGATTTTAAAAAGGAAATAATAATATTTAAATATATTTTTAATTCATTAGGGGTATCATAGTAATCAACCAACGTAAGAGTTAACGTGAGCGCGACACCTAAGAAAGTGACTTCTCAAATAATAATATAGAGATTTATAAATCTATAACTGATAGTCGCCCTTCCAGTTGTAGACCATGTCGAGCAATCGTGCTCTTGCCTTAGCCTCAAACTCCTTCTTCACTCGCTGGTGAATCCCAATAGACCAACGATATTTTTGCTGTAACCAGAAAAAATATTAATAATTTTAAATAATTAAAAATAAATTAGGTCATTAAACTTACAGCGAACGATTTGAACCACGTCTTTTTTTATGTGGCTCGCCGTCATCTTCCAGTTTGGAGCTGGATCGGGAAAGTATCCATTGATACAGTCCGTGACGCTAGTTCCGACACAATTGTCAAGACCAAACCTGGAAAAAACACAAAATAAATCATTAATTAGATTAATTTGTAAATATTTTGTTAATTAAGAAATAAATTAAAAAAACTTTTTAAAAATTAAAACATACCATAATACGTTTTGGCCGTCCCGTCGGATAGGATCTAACTCTGCCAGCCCTTCTCTGCCTGAAAGGGCCAAAATATCCTCCACCATGTACACCGCAAAGGGTGCGTTCGGCGGCACCTGCAAATCGGGATAAATCCCGACCAGTGGAGGAGGAGGAGGAGGAGGAGGTGGTGGTGGAGGAGGAGGAGGTGGTTGCCGGGACGCCGTAAAAGCTCCCTGAGTCTCGGGAATCGAAGATGAACGGGGAGCTGACGAAGATGAACCCGGAGCATCCTGACGCCCAAAAATATCTTCGTAGTGACTCCCCTCGAGAGACGATGTCCTCTTACCAGCAACCTTAGCAAGCTTGCTCTTTCTAGGCATCTATATTTAAAAAAAAAATCAAAACATTAATTCCCGTATAATTTAAAAAAAAACAGTAAATAAAAGTAAACCAACCTAATCTAAATTCCCTAAACTAACCAGCTAATCTAAATTCCCTAAACTAACCACCTAATCTAAATTCCCTAATCTAATC